CATGATATCTTTGGGAAGTCCAAGGACGAGTTCTACCAGATGCCCAAATGGAAGCAGCAGAACGAGAAGAAGCAGTGTGGGCTCTTCTGAGACCACAGTGGCCATCCAGCATCCAGTGACTCTGGGACCAACCCTCGCTCTCTTAGGAGCTGCGGGAAGGCAGTACAGACATTTGCTCAGTGAACCCACCCCAACATCTCAATTAGGCCAATCTCCAATGCACTCATCCCAGCAGCCACTGTTCAGGGAACAGCTCCTTTCTCCCTGCAAACCCTGAACCTAAGAAGGCAGGAACGCTCCTTTTGCAGGAATGACTTTGCAGGGTGTTTTTGCCTTTTTTTGACATTTTATTGCTGATAGCCATGAAGACAAGCATGTGTCGCACAACTGTATTGCTGTCTCTTCTTTTCTCTCCCTTTTACGAATTGCCACATGCACAAGGCCATTATCTTCATTTATAGAACTTTAAAATTACACAAGATAAAGGCCACTTGCAGCTTCTGTGTAAATTCTGAATGGGGAGAGGAGGGAGACTCCCTAGGAGGACAGAGGGGGAGTCCAGAGGTTAGGAAAAATGTAACAGAGTAGCCAGGTGTGGGATGGGGTAGCCCATGGACTGACACCAGCCATTTCTGCCCCTTCTTACCTTGCAGATAAACTGTTCATCAAAGAACAGCAACAGTCATTTGTATACTAACATACATAGTCCAGTGCAGGTAAAGCAAATGAGAATCTGGCTTGGAAAAAACCCCACTTATTTAGAACATATTTATTAGCTGATCTGTTTAAAGAGGGTGATAAGATTTAGGGCTAAACACAGCTGTTGATTTTGACTGCCAAACAAGACTCAGAATATTTTTTTCTCACTCAGACAGCACCTCCAATCTCACCCAGCCTCCCTTAGGATGCGCAGGTGAATGTGGAGGCCACCTGCCCACAGCCCAGAGGCTTGAGGAAGCCGGGAGAGTTTTATGACCTGAAGCAGAGCGTGTCTCACTGAAGGTTCATCAGGTCTCCATCCCTGTGATGTCCATGGGGCTGAGAGCTCAGTCTGGCTGGGGAGGGCGGGGGGAAATGTGAGCCATCAGTGATTAAGGAATATGACTGTAACCTAAAGGAAGAAATGCATATATTTAAACACTCGGATGTAATTTGCAGCTTTATTCCATTTCCATTCTGATCAGTGATCCCAAATAAACAGGCAGCAGCAGCACTCTAAGTGTCCTTGCTCAGTGTGTGGGGTAGGACAGCAGTAGAGAAAAGCTCTGCAGGGCTACGGATCCTTCAAATACCTCGTCTTTAAAGGGATTTGGGATCTTTTTGGAAAAGAACAAAATGATGAGGTGGGGCTCTTTCTGTTCCAAATCCAGCATACCCAGGACTGTTTGTCTCCCCATGTCCATGTGCCCTGATCCAGAAGCCCCTCCGTTGCCCATCCATGGGGGTACTTGGCTGTTCAGCAGCTGGCCTGCCTGCCCACTCCTGCTGCAGATTTGAGGGGCTGCCGGTGTCTGTTAAGGAGCAAAGAGCTCTCTCTTAACACCCTGGACCACACAGTAGTGGGGAAGTGTCACCATCTGGCTGGGCTGGAGTCAGGGACCTCCAGGCAAAGAGGTCTTCTGGATGGATCTATGTGTTTAGGGATTGGTCGTTACTTCAAATACACCACAGCCCCATCATTACCTCCATGTTCCTGCTACCAATTTGTGCCCTTTCAGCTCACAACTCACTGAATTTCCCTTGCCACTGCTATGCAGAATAAGGTAAGAGTCAAGAAGAGACACAAATCAGCTGAATTACCTTCATGATTGCTCATGTGGTGTTCACTCTGGATACAATCAGTGCACATTATCCCTGTTCCAGTCTCTTGTTCCACTGCTGGAAGCAACAATATTTGCATCGCCCTGCTGCGGCGTGCTTCTGCCAGCTCCCAAATTACCAAATCGCATGTACTCCTCAACAAAATGCAGCAATGCCACCTATCAGCCCCAACTGTGGGCCTTGTGAGCATCACGCAATCAAGTGGAGACCAAGAGAAATAAAGTCAGATTATGGAGATTAGGCCCGTTTGCCACAAATTCCATTAATTCCTGCTGACACGATGCTCACCAACACAGATGAGCAGAGCCCTCCTGCAGGACTACTACGAAACCAGTGTGGGATTTGACAGATAATAGGTGCTTCTGATGTTTTGGGCTGTTGGAAACTGCTGTCGCTCTCCTCTCCTCATGAGGAGAGTTGGTTTTACTTTCTATCTCTGATTTCTAAAGGAAAGATTCTCACCCACATCCTCCCTTTCTTGCTGCTCCCACTTTTGCTGTGGTGTCCAGTGAGCCATGTCCTGTTTCTGCTCCTCTCTACATTAGAGCTCTTACCTAGAGTGGAGCTCCAGCACTTCCTAATCTGCCCAGCGGTGATGTCCCTCAATGATGGCATGGACCACATCCCTGACCCATGTCCTGCCCCCACACCTCTCCCTACTTCCTGTCACCCACTGTAAGCACGAGGGCTCCTTTAGCTCAATAATCCATCTGAAATCTAATCCTGCAACATCATAACACAAATAATTTTTTCTCAGCTAACTCAGTGGGGTCATGTGACTCACCCCTCACTACCAAGGGCCCTGAGGTACTACAGCGTGTCCAAAGAAGGGCAACAAAGCTGGTGAAGGGTCTGGAGGACAAGTCTTATGAGGAGCAGCTGATGGAACTGGAGCTGTTTAGCCTGCAGAAAAGGAGGCTGAGGGGAGACCTTCTCGCTCTCTACAACCACCTGAAAGGAGGTTGTAGCAAGGTGGTGATTGGTCTGTTAACCAAGTAACAAGCAATAGGACAAGAGGAAACGGCCTCAAGTTGCACCAAGGGAAGTTTAGACTGGATGTGAGGAAGAATTTCTTTACTGAAAGAGTTATCAGGCATTGGAACACGTTGTCCAGGGCAGTGGTGGAGTCACCTTCTCAGGAAGTAGTTGGATAGACACAATACTTAGGGATCTGGTTTAGTCAGGGCTTGTCAAGTGTTGGGTTAATGATTGGACTCAATGATCTTAAAGGTCTTTTCCAATCCAAGCAATTCTGTGATTCTGTGTTTTTCATCCCATGGATCCTTGAAACAAAATGCTCAGAGCATCTTGGGAGCAGGGACTGAGCTTAGACTGTCTCTGAGTTGGAGTCAAGAATGCTCCAGCCTTGTCCTTCAAAGCTGCCTCCTGATACAACATCCCAGAGGTGAGCTGAGAGAGAGCCCATGTCCCTGCAGGATCCCCCGTTCTGTCTTGGTGCCGCTCTTGAGCTCCAGTGGTTGTTAACTTAACGTGAGCCTTTGAGTCATGGATATAATTCACATGTAATGTGGTGATGCTTTACAACATCACACAATTTTGTAGTGAAAAGGAAAAAAAAAAAATATCCATGTGTCCAGCAGTGATTACTGCAGTGTAACAAACTCCAGGTAGGACTAAATGAAACCCAGTTTTGCAGTGGGCCCACAGATCTCTAAATCCAGGCTATTTTGTACTCAGAAATAGGTGGGGAATGAGTGGACTGGAATATGTTTAAAGGGACATTAATGCCTTTGGCAGCAGCCTGTCCTCTCTGCACCCGGCATGAAAAACCCGAGAAAGACTGAGAGCTTCAAGAAATTGGGGGCTGGTTAGCTCAGTGGATTGAGCGTGGTGCTGACAACAATGACAACACCAAGGTCGTGGGTTCGATTCCTGCTTGGTCCCCATGTGTTGCCTGGTCTAGTCGAGAGGTGGCATCCCTGCCCATGACAGGGAGGTTGGATTAAATGATCTCCAAGGTCCCATCCAATCTAGGCCATTCTATGATTCTATGAAATTAAGCAGATCTATCTCCAGCTTCATGTGTTTTGCATTCAAGACAAAGAGGCAAATAGTGACAAGTAACTGGACTCTTCCAGATTTTTTTACTCGCAATAGTTAACATATTGTTAGTAACATAGTTGGCACTTCAAAATATATATTATTTTATTTCAACAATATTCCCTTAACTCTGTAGTTATACTTGACGAAAAAAATCACTTGTTGCCATAAATACTATGTTGCTGTTCAAAACTCTCTGTTTGTGCTAGGTCACCTCTACGGTGCAACTGGGACCAAGGCTAACATTTACAATGGTTTCACTGCCACTTCCTCTGCTTTAAAAAAATTACATTTTCCTATAAAAACACAAACAAAGAAAGTTTTGCTGCATTAAAATACAAAAAGAGGCCTACTGTCAGTTGAGTGTATTTCCACCATCATGGGCAAAAGACATTCTCTGAGGTCCCTTTGAGTGGGTTTCATTTTGGGTTAGAGGGAATTCGGCTGTTCGGCAGTTTCTTTCTCCTTCCCAAGGATGAGAGCCAGGCTTTGAATGCAAAGCGACTTGGCTGAGAGCCAGGCACACAACCAGAGTAGTGTTCATGTATTTTTTATTATAATACAAAAGGAAAGTCGAGTTATATAACACAGGCCTTTGTAGTGCAGCTTTCTTTTTTGCTCTATAACAGAAAATTGTGTCCCCATTTAAGACTTCATATGGTGAAAGATGGCCGACATCTGAAGTTTTAAAGAAGTTACCTGGCATCTGGCCACTGGTTTTAGTGGTGGAGTGGACTTTTTCTTGCACAGATGTTGGGCATTTTGTCCAGATGTCTGACCGAACCCAACCCAACTTTGCTAAAAAGGAGTCCCTATCCTCTTGTTAAAAGCAAACTTAGAAGAAAAAAAAATCACACTAAATAAAGTGAACTAGAAACACAGCTGGATTGGTCAAACAAGTACAAAAGGATTAATCTCAACAGCAGCATTAGAATTTTTCCAGCACACAGAATGGAGAAGGTCAGTGACTATTTCACATCAGGAGTCCTATGGAGCACCACACGTGCTCCAAAGAAAGCACTGGGGATCTGACGGGACCCGGACATTCGCAGACTTCGAACGCTGAATTCCTTCTAGGTCTGTAACGAGGTTCACTGTGCCCTGAAAGAGCCAAGCTGCTAATCACAATCCTGGATATTGACGTACACAAAAAGGGTGGAGGAGGAGTACAGGTCTCCATTCTTGGTTAGAAGATGGATGTGGCGGTAACCTGGAAGCAAAGACACAGATGGAAAGTGACCTTTAGTCTGGTTGGAAAAATATTTGCTAATGCTTGCCAAGACCTTGCAAAAATATCTCCCTGTCCTAGAGTGTTTTTCTCCCAGTACCCCACAGAACAGGTAGGTGTGAGAGGCACAGCTTTGAACACCGGCAACCTATTGTGCCCGAGGTCACTGGTGACGAGGAGATCCCTTCCCCAGAGACAGTGTCAACAGCTGCCCAAAAGAAACATTTATCGTCTTGCTCATATCCCAGAGAGACAACCTGTTCTGATCCGAGATGTGATGGGTCTGGACCTCTCATCTAGGACACTGGAGCTTCCCAGAGGGCTCAGTAGTTGTGAGAAGCAGGGAGCAGCACCTTACCTTGCTTCAGACTGGTGAAGGGAAGGGTGTACTGCCCAATGAAATCGTTCTTGGTTGACATGTCGAAGTCTTCCACCACAAACCGGACCAGGGCAAGTGCAGGGATTTCTATGTCAAATGTAAACTCTTCGTCCCATTTCGGGTTAAAGCCTGGGCAACACAGAGAAGGATGGAGATCAGAACCGTTCAGGAGAGATGCTCACAGACAAGGATGGAGATCAGAGATGATGGTGGGTAACGATGGAGGTCAGAGATGCTTGCAAATGGATGGAGACTTCTTGTCTGCCAACCTCATCTGACGCACTTCAAAGGTCTTAGGAGGTGCCGAGACTGTTGTTCCCAGCCCTGATACTCATTTGCTACCTGGCATTAACAAATCCTTCAGCTTAGGCTGCTCATTGTAGACCTCGGCACCGTGGTCCTAGAAGGCAGTAAGAAGCAGGAGGCAAGCGAACTCAGCTCTGCTCCACAGGCTCTCTCTGGCTGATACATGGATGCCTTTGGTCATCATTGGACCAGCCGCAAATTTTTACAGCCCTAAACCAGCAAGGAGCAGGGAGGAGAGCTATCCCTTTGTGTGGCAACAGCCTTCTGGAGGCCTTAAAACTCACTGACTGATCAAGGTACACACCATCTCTCACCACTTGGCACCTCAGTTTCCCTGCCTGCAAGAAAGGTTAACGAGGAGAGTCTGATTACAAAATGCTTCATTAAGTCTGGGGACAAAATATTTTATGTCTCGCCGTATAAGAGCAGTGTCTGAGACAGCCAGGTTAGCCCTACTGCTGGTGTGGATAAGGATCTTGTGGTCTGGACTCACAAAGCAAACAAAACCGAGCCCGTCACAGCACACGAAAGATGAAGAGGAAGCTCAGTGCTCTCTCTCTGCAGGTCACGGTGGGTGCTCTCTGCAGTTTCAATAAACCACTCCTTAGAGACAAATAGGAGAGAACACCCTGTTTGAAAGCCTGGTGCCATCAGCCCAGGCTGCACAGAGCAGAAGCCCAAGGACGGCAGAACGTCAGCTCAAGCCTGCTGGTCGTGGTTGTGCAGACAACTTGGCAGGAGGCAGGGCTCTTTCAGGTGGTCCTGAAGATGCTGAGATGGGCCTATGGACAGTGCTATAGAAAAACGCCTGTCCTGGAGTGCTGCACTTTATTTGGACTTTCATAGGATTAAACTGTTCAGATAGCACACATCTGCTTCGGACCTCCTTCATCCTCGGGAAAAAAACCACAGCACTGCAGATCCCGTGGGAGCAGAAATCATGGAAGCTGAAGGAAAGCCATCAGCCTTAGGACAGTAGGTTTCACTGTACTGACATCTACAGGGGATTTTCAATCTGTCTCAGAGCCACAGCGAGATTCTCAGGGCTGCCGAGCCAGCAGCTCCATGGCTACACCTGATCTGTGCCCACAGTCCCTGCCTCAGTCCCACCAACACAGAATCACAGAATCATTTAGGTTGGGAAAAAAACTTAAGATCATCAAATCCATCCCCAAAATATCAAACCAGGTGAGGTGCTGTAGCATGGTCACATATCTGAAATGTCAGCCCATGAAGTGCAACCTCCTCTGCAGCTGACCCTTTCCCACATGATGTTTTCATTGTTTGATTCACTTTCCATTGGGCAACATTCCCTCCAGCACCCCTCCAGCATTGCTCCAGCTAGCCGAGGGCTG